TCTGAGGCCCTCGCATTCAAATTACAATACAATCAAAAACGGATATTTACACTTAGTTAATTTACAATCATATAGTTCAATGTATGATTATAAACGATAAAGCAGTTAAAGAGATACATGTAGTAAAATGAAAATAAAAAAATATAATATACAATCAAAATAATACAGTTAAGAAAAGAGAAACTTATCAGAACTGTGTCAAGTACTTGTTTAAAAGTAAAATATTTTGGACTTTATGCATTTTGTATGACAGTCCATTCCATAGAACTGATCCAGAATAAACAAATATTTCTTAAACAGCTCAGTTTTTGGCTTAGGAACTATTATATTACCTTGAGTAACACCCATCAAAGACAAAGAGTACCAATTATTATCTGATATCAGTTTAAACTTTTGAACTTGGTACATTGGTGCTTCCATACACACAAATTTATATAGAAGTTAATATTTGTGGCATTTGATTCTATTTTCAACTGGCCATCAACCCAAGTTCTTTAAATAAGAGAACTGAAGGGGTTAAAGGATCTGTATCTAAATAGATCTCGCTGCCCTTTATTGAAGTTAAAATATTCTTGTTATCCCTTCATTTTTAGCTCACCTGGCCTAAAAGGCCAAGTGAACTTTTCTCATCACTTGGCGTCCGTCGTCGTTGTTAACTTTTACAATAATCTTCTCCCCTGAAACTACTAGGCCAAATTTAACCAAACTTAGCCACAATTATTATTGGGGTATCAGTATCTAGTTTTTAAAATGTGTCCGATGACCAGGCCAGCCAACCAAGATGGCCTACACGGCTAAAAATAGAACATAAGGGTAAAATGCAAGTTTTGCGTTATTATTTTGAAAACCTCTAAAAATAGAGAAAATCTGACAAGGCAAAAATGTTCAGAATGTTGAGCTCTACCAATTGTTTTTCACGTCAAAACTGTCACAAGACATCTTATAGGAGTTATTGCCCTTAAAAGATGAATTTTACCATTTTAAAAAATGTTTGCCTATTATCTTGAAAATTATAATAGATAGACAGAAACTTTAAATAGTCAAAAAATGATCAGCAAGACAAGATTTACAAATAAGTCAAATATGGCAATTTTTACCAAATTTTTTGCGTTTTAGCCTAATATCTTAAAAATTATATTAGATAGATAGAAACTTTAAATAACAAAAATGACCAGCAAGACAAGATCTACAAGTAAGCCATAATGGTCGAAAATGGTGTACAAAAATGTGATAAAAGGAAACTATACCACATGCTATTATTTTCATATTGCCTTTTCAAACTGTGATATTTATCTATTAGTATGCAAAAAGGTCTTTGTTAAATGATATCACAAACATCATAGATTTTCTTTTAGAAACAAGATATCTGATAACTAAACTTATAATGCATTTACTAATTTGTTGGCCTAAGCAACTTAGACAGTGGTTTCCAAGGCTTTGAGAAATCAACTGGACATTAGGTCCAGTAAAATATTCTTCTTAACTAGACCAGACTCTTTTTTACAGGACATTTGCACATATGATTTGGACAAAATAAAAAAAAAATACCAGTCATTTGGTCCAGTAATGCATATCACTTAACTGGACCAAACCAATTTTTACTGGTCTTTGCCTAATGTCCGGCAACTGGGAATGACTGCACCTACTTTTTAGTATGTTGTTTGGGCACTATTTGGATGCTAGGAAACATATGTTAAGTCTTTTTCAAGAGCAATGTTGTGATGTAAAGTTTCCATTTGTTATCATCCCAAAATATTTAACAGTCAACTGTTCATTTACTTTATATACAGGATTTTAGTTAGTTGCTATGAACAGAAACTGTTGCTAGGGAAAAAATAATGTAAAATATAATATTCCATAGTATTATATTCCAATGTAAGAGTCATCTCGATTAACCTGTAAAACCTTATTTTTTCAATTTTAATCACAATTTTCTTTGGTTGCAATGAAAATAATTCTGTTGCTTTGAGGAAAAAATTGGACAATTTTATAAAGAAAATAAAGTTTCTATTCAGATTATTCATAGACAGTCAATTATCTCATTGTTTTCTTAAAACCAAATTGATGTTACAAGATTCAACCCAAAATTTAACTATTTTCCATTATATTCTGAAAAAAATCTGTTACCATGGCAACAATATTAAAAACATTTTTTTTTTGTAAATTTGAAAGATCTGACTTAGATGTATAACTGAAAAAATTTCAAATGTTTAACTGGTCTATTTAAGGTACAGTTAATATTTCATTAAAGTAAGCGTATTTTCAGCATTTTGTTGAAAAATCCTATGCGAATCAAGTATGTAAAAAAAAAAATTCTGTGGAGGAAAGGGTTAACACAAACTTAGTCGATTTGATTTCTCCAGCTAAGTGTACTGTCAATTTTAACACCTAATAATTTTTCACCTCAAGAATTTTGTAATATTTCTGAATTTATTTGTAAGTTTGGTTGATAAGTCTGAATTGATAATTACTGCTTTATTTGCATTTTGTTTTATTTGTATTGATGAACATGTTATTCATTTTGCACCACTTTGTGTAAATCTTCTTGAACATCATCATGTATATTTTCTATGTTTTTCCCTGCTTTATGAAGAGTGGTGTCATCAGCATACAGGTCTGTTCCACAATTTTTAATGCATAAGGGAAAGTCGTTTATAAATAACACAAATAATAGAGGACTAAGTATAGAACCTTGGGAACACCAAAGGATAGAGCCAGGAACCCCAATAAAGGTCCCTGTAAAGGTGTGTTTTTTAACTTCAATTATTAAAGTAAATCTAATGGTAATGCATTGATAAATGTATGATATTTAAAAGTATAATATGAAAATTATTTACAACCACTGGGTCTATGCCACTGCTGGTGGAGTTTTTATTCCCCGAGGGTATCACCAGCCCAGTAGTCAGCACTTCTGTGTTGACATGAATTATCATTGATATGGTCATGATTATAAATTAACTGTTACAAAACTTTGAATTTTTGCAATACTAAGGCTTTTCTACCTCAGGAATAGATTACCTTAGCTGTATTTGGCAAAACTTTTAGGAATTTTTGGTCCTCAATGCTCTTCAACCTCGTATTTATTTGGCCTTTTTAACTTTTTTTTTATTCGAGCGTCACGGATGAGTCTTTTGTAGACGAACGCGCGTCAGGCGCCAATACTAAATTTCAATCCTGGTATCTATGATGAGTTTATTTATATATCTGCTTCATATTTATAAATATATTAGCCTGAAATAGGAATAGATTTTCTAGAAATTTGTCAATTTTTCTATCTTTTTTCATGATTTTGTATGTGGAGCCACCCCTCGCCCATTGAAAGTTTTATTTAAAAGTAATGAATATGGTATATAAAGAATATTTAAGCAACAATATTTGTGGGCGAAGGGTGACACCACTGTTAATTATTCAGAAGACTGTCAGTAATTTTGCAGAATTCTGCAAAAAATCAGGTTTTTACAAAATGCCCCTTCATTATGACGTCACAATTACGTCACTAATGAAGCAATAGGTAAAATATGTTTTAACTGAAATAATTGGACATTTTAACATATTTCAGATTTTTTGGGCCAAAATTATGAGTTAGTGAACCAACTCCTTTTATATGTTTGAAAAATAACTATCATTTTAACCGGATTTTCGAAGTAAAAATTGGTTATTGATTTGAGGATGTAAGGCAGGCAGGCAGGCGGGCAGGCGGCTGCCAAACAGTGTCCATTCATTAACATGAAAACCCTTTGACAAAAATTTTTCAAATTTAGATATGTTGTTTCTTGTGACTAAATGAAGGTCAAGTTCAATTTTCACGATTTTAGCTTTCTCGTTGCTGAGTTATAGCCCTTTCCCAAGAATTAAATTTTTGATGAAATACTTATTAATTACTAGATTTGTGTTCAAAGGGAAAGAACTCACTTTTTAAAAGATTCTTAAAAAACATTGTATTAATGATAAATGACATTTTGGATATTTTTTTCTTTTCTTTGGTAAATTGTTTGAAGAATTTTGTGGTAGGTGTGTTTGTTATTCTGTATAAGCTAATTTTCTGAATGCTATATATATATAATTTTTTTTGGATGAACTGAACTCTTTTAATTAGATAATAATCTATTTTTAATAAAGGATATATTTCATTACATTACATTGTGTAGATGATTGATAAGTTGCAGATCTATATTAGTTTGTGACAAATGAAAGAAAAAATACTTGGAACTATTAATTATATTTGATTATAATTTGAAAATAGATATACATTGTGTTACATCATATCTAATTTTAGAGAACTATTTGATTTTTTAGTGGTTAGATCATATCTAATTTTAGAGAACTATTTTTGCTTTATTAGTTTCTGTTCAAAGGGAAATAACTCAAACTTGTTTCCATAAACCAGTAATCATAATATAAGTATATGGATTTTGTTCAATTAATTTTAGTCATTAGTTGTCAAAAATTTCTTTATAACTATTTTTTTTAAATCATGTGTGTTATGAAGGTAGATGTCACAGTTGTTATGTGGTATTTTATTTTTGTTGTGTGTGTTAATGTTTAATTTTTACATGATCCTGTTTGGGGGTTCAGATTTGCAAATATCATTTTCATTATTAATTAGATAATAATCTATTTTAAATATTCAATCACAATCCAAATTCAGAGCTGTTTTAAGCTTAAATGTTGTGTCCATGCTTGCTCAACTGTTCAGGGTTAGACCTCTGCAGGAAAATCCGGTTTGCTGTCACTCTGACAGCCTCTTGTTATATAATTATTTTTTATGTTAACTTTTTGGTTGCATGTTACACATATTGCTCATCTCTATTGCTTCGATAAAAGTCAAACTGAGATTAAGGAAAATCTCCCTGTGGGACACACTAAAAAAAGTAAAAGGATAACGTGGTTGATGAAATAGTTTATTTGTGCATTTTAAGTTATTTGCTTATATTTCTTGACCATTAATATGCATATACATGTCATTTTATTTAATTTAAATTTATTTGAATACTTTTTAGTTAACAACCAAGACAATGAGTTCATCAACAGAGGGAGAGTTAGAATCCAGAGTTCGGTCTTTGACAGAAAGTTTGATTCAAAAACAAACTATGTTAGAATCATTAAGTACAGAAAAAAATTCACTAACAGTACAGCTGGAGAGATTACAGGTAAGTTGCATATTAGATATGAATAAAAGCTCCATTACTGACTTAGGCTAGATGTCACTCAAAAACGGAGAATTTTATCAAAGTTTTCTTAGCTTCTATGAATGGGAATGATTTAATATTTAGTCTGCAGCTTGATAATATTGAGTTGTAGTGAGTAAGCAATTTTTCATCTGCCGTGTAGCCACTTTCTGTTTGCTGATAGTTTGAAATTTTACAATACTCATTGTACAAGGAAAACTTTTGTCAATATTTCTGTGCTATTGAAGTGAATGATTTTAATATTTGGTCTGGGAATGATCAGTTATGCTCCGGTTTACATTTTACCTAAATAAATTGCATGCAGCAGTGCAGGGGCAGACCCATTATTGGTCTTGTTCAAACCTACATGGATTTGCTTTCCATTAAAAGTAATTTCAACCCTGTATCATCCAATCGCAAACCACACAAGATTTTATTTTGAGTAACATCTTGGTTGTAAAAATACTTGGCAGTAAAATGTAAACAAATAATTCTGCTCATGTAACCTATATGGTAATGCAAATATTTTTCAAAAACGGAAGTGTATGGGACATATGATAAGCTAGTGTATATTTTGCTCTTATCACAACAAAATGTTATCAAATAACTCTCTGAATTTTGAGAATTTTTTATTTGACATTAACCCAGCCTAAAATTTGAACTGATTTTTTGAGAAAATTCAGCACTGTTCAAAAGGACAAGACAATAATGTCTATTTTTTTTAAAGGTCATCCATCGTTGATCATGCTGCTGTCAAAACTGTTCAGATAGATATGTAACAACTACAATGAATTTTGAAAAATGGCTTTAAATGAAATCACTTCTTTCAAAAATATGTCTTTTAAAACAGTTTACAGTTTTTCCAAATTTTGGAGATAAGAAAATATAAAAAAAAATAAGCAACTATTTTGCAATAAAAAACTTTTCTTTTACTACATAATTTAATGCCAAGTTTAATTTTTTTACTTTGCAATTCAACTCAATCATTGGTGTTTGTTATTGCGAACCAAATGAAAGTTTTCCAGAGTCATCTGCTCTTGGTCAAGGTATTTAAACTTTTGTCTGTTCTATTGTCCCATTGAATAAATATAATAGCTATTGTTCTCTGTGTAGTTTATTCACAGTGGGACCTTTAAATCTCTTCTAAGAGAAATCCATCACTCATTGATTAATTAACCTGAGTAAAAAAATTATCTTCTAAGTTGATAAAAATACATTTTTGTCAGCCAAATTTTCTTTTTAACTGATGACGTGAGAAGGAAATACTCCAAGGATTCGAGTTCATTTGCCAAATATCTAACACAAGATTTGCAATAAAGGTCATTTATTCAGAAACCATAAAAACATAATACAACTGACTGTTATGAACAATTATGTAATAAACCAAAACTGAATAAATGACAATAATTTGCAAAGGTGGGGAATAAATACCGCCACAATCCCCAAGTCACAGAGTTGGGGAGTCACCACCCGAGAAACCTTGGAGATAAATTTTATAAAAGATTAATTGATTTATATAAATAAATGCTTGCTTTCTTTACGTCCAATTGCAATCATTTCATTCATATTTAGGACGACATTAAAATTTAAAAGAGAAAGAAAAATATGTGTGTATGATATTAAGCATTGCTCAATGTCTGGATGTAAAGGTTATAAGATTATAAAAAAGCAGAGCAAGCCCTGTTGACCTCTACCTTTTATGTTAGACAAGTACACATGCCAATGTAAGCAAACTCTTTGGATCCCTCCCTACATTTCCATAGCATAATGTTAAAAACAAAAATTACAACTTTTACAACTTCTTATTGTATTCAACCTATAAAAGTCTATTAAATATATTGAGATAAACAAAAATACCTTGATGTCATGTATTTTTGTACGGTATGCAGAGTGTAAAACAAAAACATTAATTGAAGACAAAATATATATGCATACATGTTTATACATGCAGATAAAAGATAAGCAAAACAGATGTAAAGAACAAAACAATAATTTGTAACTTTCCAAAACAAATTAATAAAGTGATAGATTTCTATCCATAGTCACATAAAAAGAGTGATTTACCGGTATCCTAAATGAGTTTAATAATGTCATAACACATAACTTGTCTACTAGAATGTAGAGCAAGCCCTGTTGACCTCTACTAAGAAAATTACTTTTTGGCAAAGCAAAACCTGTTGACCTTTGCCTAAGACATAATATAAAAGTGTAAAATCTAATGTAATTTAGTAGTGCGTTTTTGTTATGATAACACTCTTTTAGCTGTTTAATTATGCAGCACCTATTTGAAACTATGATCCTTGTAAAAGGGACTTCAACTAGGACTTAAAAAAAGAAGCTCACTGATATACCACACGAGAATTGAAAAAGGGGGCTAACTGAAAAAATATCAATTCTGCTTTCTACTTCCACAGTTCAAACCATGTTCCTTGGACCAGCTCAATGATAGTTTCAACAATTTGATATGAGACTGGCGTTTATTCAAGTGGTGTCCAAAATTAACATCGATATTTTCTCTTAAATAAAAGATTGGTTGTGAATTAAGCAAAGAGATCCGCTGTTCGATTTTTTTTTTTTGTGAATTGTATGACACTTCTTACTTTTACATGTGACTTATAATTGATCAGTTGACGTTGTTGGTATACTTGAAATTATTATAAAAACAGTCTGCAAAGGATCATTCTTTACAACTGCCCAATCAAAATTCATCACTCTGAGTACCTCAAGAAATGTTTCATCATATGATTTTGCAATATTGAAACCAAATTGTTTTGCCAATGGGCTAATAATGTATGCATATTTAAAATGTGAAGATATATTCCAGATATTTAAATAATATAAAGACATAAATATCACAAGTTGCAGTACACTGATGGATGGACATTATCTACGTCAGTTATCGTTAGACAGTTAAACTGCCTTTGATTTGAATAGTTCTCAATCATCTTTATCTTCTCTGAAATTTGGAGAAAGGGTAACCAAGTCTATAAAGTTATCAGCACAAATGTCTTTTCTTGTTTTTAATTCACATTCAAGCCCAAGGGCAAAGTCTTTGTTAAGAAATACCTTACTGTCTGGCCTAATACAGAATTGTCAATACCTCAAGTTCATTCTTCTTGCATTGATGTTGCTGTAAGCTGTAAAATATGCTGAAACATATAGGTCTGATGTCACAGACAGTTCAGAAGAACAGTGTTTTGCGTTTGCTAATGTTGAAGGCAACATTTCTGTCTCTGTTTTTTGAAAATCCAGTGTTGCAGGCTGTTGTCTGTGTTAAACTAATGTTGAAGTCACACGTGATGTACAATCTGTCATCTGCCTATGATTCCAACACGCTGTCGGTTATATGAAAATAAAAACCAGCACTATTCAATTCAATTGAGCAATCATCGCCGCTGCCATTTCGCCAGCTGTTGGCTGTGTTATAAATGAGAATAGTGTATTGACACATCTTACAAAAGTATCGTATGAGCTGTTGATCTTCGCAGACCATTATTATTCAGGGTCTGTTTTCGTCCTTTTCATTCAATCGTATAAGCTGCAACTCTTAAAATATTTCAAAAGAGAGACTCTCTGTCACATCTGTAATAGCAGTCATTCCTCTTACCCCAGCTCTTATATATAGCATCTATAAAGGAAACGAAATAGTGGCACAATAAACAGTATCATATGACAAATACAAAATAACCATACTTGAAAATATCTAATACCATTAATTTAAACAATAAACAATAAAACTGGATGTATAATTATGGAAACATATATATCACTATATAAAATCAGTGTAATTTATAATAAAAAAGGAGATGTGGTATGATTGTAAATTCAGACGACAACTACCCAACAGTTTCCAAATGAATAGAATTGAGCAACTTTAGACCACCTTACGACCATCAACAATGAGAGCAAAAACCCACACCAAATAGTCAGCACTACAAGGACACATGTCAAAACGTGAAACAATTGAAGCGGTAAAAAAAATTAACAAACGACAACATTCCAACAGTCTGATTTATGACAAAAAAATAAATAAATGAAAAAGAGAGATGACAGACAGCAACCATATAAAACCATATGTATAATGATAAAAATATAAATACAGAAAACCATGTGTATAATGATACATATGAATAACCATATAAAACCATATGTATAGTGATGTGATACATATCTAAAATATAAAACCATATGTATAGAGATGTGATACATATATAACCATAAAAAACCATATGTAAAATGATACATATATGAATTATAAACCATATGTATAGAGATGTGATACATATATAACCACAACAAACAATATGTATAATGATACATATATAACCATATAAAACCATATGTATAATGATACATATATAAAATATAAACCATATATGTATAGAGATGTGACACATATATAACCATATAAAACCATATGTATATAATGATGCATATATAATGATATAAAACCATAGGTATAATGATACATATATAAAATATAAACCATATGTATATAGAGATGTGATACATATATAACCATATAAAACAATATGTATATAATGATACATATATAACCATATAAAACCATATGTATAATGATACATATATAACCATATAAAACCATATGTATGGAGATGTGATACATATATAACCATATAAAACCATATGTATATAATGATACATATATAACCATATAATACCATATATAAATAATGATACAAATATAACCATATAAAACCATATGTATATAATGATACATATATAACCACAGAAAACCATATGTGTAATGATACATATATAACCATATAAAACCATATTTATAAATGATACATATATAACCATATAAAACCAAACGTATTAAAGATACACATTTAACCACAGGCTGTAAACTTGAACAATGATTTGTCTAATGACATGGAACACATTACTAATGATTCAACAACAACAAAATAGTTTTTTCAAACTGGTATAGATAATTGCATGTTAAAACCTCACGCTTT